ATCTTCATCAGCACCTTCATTCACTGACTGTAGTACGTGGAGTTTTCTTGCTGCTGATCTCAAGGCAAACAAGAAATGGGCTTTAGAGGAAAGCATTCTTTGTAAGCATTAGCATAGATGTGTATATATATATATAGGTGTGCTTTGAGCGGTTTGCCTCTCCTTTCATCAGCACACTTTTTTAGCCACTTGAAAATGAAATGCTTTAACAATTTATGTTGAGAATGGAAAAGTCATTGAAACTGGGGCATATGGAAAAAGAAATAAGAGCAGACTTCTGGTACTTCCCTTTCATGTGATACTGGTCCAGGTGAAAGCTGTAGGGTATGAGAGGATGTCCTGTCTGTTCTGCTTGAGAGAATGCTAAGTGACATTTTAAGGAGAGTGCACATCACTGGCTTGGAGGAGAGAAGAAAACTGTGTGAAACTTCATTTTGATTGCTACTTTGGTGCTCTTTCTCTGCCAGAGCTACTTAAAAACAAACAAGTGACAAAACCAACAAATAAATACTTTTTTGACACTGACAAAAGCAGACACACACATGAAGCTCATTTTTTGCTCTGGCTTCAAAAAGCAAAAGGACTTATTTGACATAAAATACTTTAAATAAGCAGTGAGTATTGCCGCTAAAATAACTTTGAGTCTGAGCACAGACTACTGCAGAGGAAGTTCTTTGGGAAAAATTGTCCATTTGGGGTTTTGGAGTTCATTTAGGAGCTTGTCAGCACTGCTTTATACATATACAAAGCTCAGGAGCCATGTGTTTCCCTGACTTTTCAGGGTGTGAAATGCTGTATTTCATGTTGTCCTGATCACCGCTGTGCTGTTGGTAAAATACTGTACCTCGTGTTTTGTGCTGTGCTGCTTGAGTCACAGCAGGAAGTCTTGCTCAGTGAATGACCTACAACATACTGGTGTGGAGGAAACACAGAAGTGCCCGTGGGAATCCTGGTAGTCTCCATGCTAACTCCATGCACAAAATTTTCTTGTGGCACCTCAAAGGATGGGCAGGTGGGAGTTTTTCACACTTCCAAAATACAGGACTTAAACACGCAGCCCCCTGCTTCCCTGACCCAACAAACCAGAAAAGCTCTAGCCAGAAAGCTCTGGTTCTGAACTTCAGCAGTTTTGGCAGGGTTTGGCTGGTGTTTGTGTTGTCACAAGGAAGGTGAGATTAGGTGCCTGCACAAGACTTCCACCTCTCACAAGTGTTTAATGTAACCACACTTGGAAGGTACATTGGTTTATGCGTGTGGCACATTAACCAACCTCTTACTGCTTGGCCTGCTGCTGTTGTCCTTTCGGTTGAAAACTGGTGCCAAGTTATTTAAGAATGTCAGCTGAGATGAAAAAATTCCCTATGTTTAATAATTGCTGGTCACTCTATGATTAAGTGCCTCTCAAAGATTTTCTGAGCTTTTTGTTAGTGTTTTTTGTTAGTCTTTTCCCCAATAGCCTTTAAATGCAATGCTGTGCTGTGTGATGCTGCATCCCTACCAGAAAAGAATCATTTTCCTCCACGCAGGCAAGATTGAGAATAAAATACGTACAGCTCAAAATGCTCAATTCACTTCGGAAATCAGCATGTGAATTTCACAAGCAGAGTAACAGCACAAATACTGCTACACCTTCTATTTCTAAATACATTTAATTGTTATAGAAGAGAAACATGAAAATATTTGGGTTTTATTTGAGAGTAGAAAACTTACGGCTGGGAAAATACTGCTATGCAAGTTGTTTTTGTTTTTTTGTTTTGTTTTGTTTTGGTTTTTTTTCCAGGCTAATGCTCCAGAGAAATGTTTTAATATTCTCCTGAATTTTTTTTTATAAGAAAGGAAATCAAGATTTTACATGCTCTGCAGCAGCGACCATTTATAGTTTGGCCAGATGTTCTTATTAGACGTCTGTGGAGAATTGAGGCTTTTTCTCTGTAAAGCGTTTTGTTGATAATGAGGTAAACTTCCACCTTTTTATTGCTCATTGGAATTGCTTCCAAGTAATTTTAGGCTGTGCAGGAGTTTCTTTCATAATTGTCAAGAAAATCCGAAGTTAATCCTGGTGAGAGGTGTAAGCCTTCTCATGAACGTCTGTTTTCTGCTGGTGGGGGGTACAGAGAGCAGTCTGTGTGCTTTATCCCTGTAGAAGGCTGTGTTTGTGCAAAGGTGGGCCTTTCCTAGGGCATCGCTGTAGGGGCTTTGGTCGGTGGTCTGTCTACCTCTGTATTTTGTTTCACATAGTGCAAGTAAAGTTCCTCCGAGTCAAAAGGCAGTTAACCAACAAAACATGCATGCAGCAATCGTCTCCTGATTTCAGTCTCCCAGTGAGTATCAGTGTAAAAACTTTCTGAGCCAGAAGCTGCATCAGAATCACATTTCAATAGCTATGGACCAAATGTTAATTATTTATTTTTTTTTTTCTGAATGCCATTAAGCTTTTGATTTCCACAGCATCCTGTGATAGAGTTAGTGATTCCATTCTGAATCGTTTTTCTCCTAATGGATCTTGCTCGTTGTTCCTCATCTGCTCTTCTTTATCTTCTCAAAAAAATCATTTCTAGTTTAGGGTATGGAGAGGACTGAGCGGATATGAGAGGGCATGTAATTCTTTTATCCTTTTGGAAACTCTGAAACCTGAGTTTTCTGGGTTTTTTCTTGACAGAAGCTAGACAACCTTGTTTTTTAGGTGCTTCAGTTTAGCACAGTATGGTCTGATCACGTAGTCTGTAAATGGGGGTGAGCTCGGCCTGGCTTGAGACCTGTGTAGTTTACTCTAAGTCACCTTTTACAAATCATGAGGTAATCTTATCCTTAAGTCTCAAGTTCTGGTGAAGGATCAGGATGCTTGACTGGATTAAATTTATGTAAAGTCAGTGAAGCCAGGCCAGACCTGCAGCTGATACATATGAACGTAAAGTTGCATTCATATGCACTGGTCAAATACTTCCATTCTAGTTTTCCATGCTTGTTCTGTTCGAAACCATATTAACCTGTTCACAGAACAATGTTTTGTGCCCCTTTACATATAACTATTTGCCACTTCCAAATGTAATTTATGGATTTTTATAATATGTAGCTTCCCTCCTCCTCATTCCTCTTTCTTCAACTGTGATGCCTTCAGCTGTGTAAGAAAGAAGGAAAGGAGTCTGTTACTGCAAAAGAGAGCTGCATTTGTCTGAGAGAGATTTGGAAACTTGAACAGCTTTATCTCAAGTTTCAAATAATGACTGCAGTCAGAAAGATTACACACAATTTTTGGCAAGCTTTATAAACATACAAAAGGCAGTCTTGATACAGGTAAGATGACCTTTTTTGGCTTTTTTTGTGGTTTATCACAAGAAGCTGTACTGACTTTCTCAAATCCACATATTGTACTTTATAAATAATGAAGTCTGAAATAAGACTTTCTTGACCAGCTGTCCTGCTTTCCATCTAAGAAAAATTTCCATTTATCTTTTTTAAATTGCAGCCAAGCCTGCAAGTTTCATTTGAAGAATGCTGACTGTTGTTTAAATTTACAGTCATGACTATTCAAGTCAAAAAGGAAAAGTTTAATTCCCAGTATGTATGGTCCTTTGGGTAGCTGGCATGAACAATTGGAGAAGAAAGTTACAGAAATGCAGGGGGTGTTTGGGAACTTCAGGGCATCATAGCAAGTATATTCTGCTTGATAATGGGTTGTGCTTTACAGATATCCTTTGTAATACAAAGCTGAAATTGCCCCTTCAAAAAAAGTGCATCTAAGGAAGGAGTCTTTGTTTGAAACTGTTGAAATCATTTCTGGGAAGGGTTTTAAAGTTTATATTCCTGCCTCCACCCACTTTTCAACAGAAAAACACTTTTGTTCTGTTTGCAAAAGAGAAATTATTAGGATTCTTCACTGTTTACGCAGATCTAAAAAAGAAAGGGTATTTATGTGCCAAAATAAGTCTGTACGCTGCAATGTGGAGAAGTGAAAAAGAAAACCAGTTTTATGTTTGAGCAACATTTTATTATATGCCCTGAAACTACAGTGAAAATAGTTTTCTTTGTAGTTGGCACTTTCAAAATCAAATATGCAAGTTGGACAGATGGACATTTAGACGTGTGCTCAGACATCTACTAAATGTTTTTTAAACATTTTATGTGATTGATACTGTATCATGCCAAATACACGGTAATCATGTTGGGAGATGGAGTGCTTATTCTGCCTGTTTTGCTTGTTTCACTGATCATTAGTGTAGGTTTTGTATGGAATCCCTGTAGATTTGGAGGGAAATGATGCATTTGAAATTATTCAGTGGAATGGAGGACACAGGGATATACCAAAATCAAAGTTTGTGTTCTCTTTTTCACCACGGGGGAAAGACAATCTCTTGAATTTGGTGCTTTTGAACCCGTTGGAGGAGAAAGGGAATGGAACTTCCCTTATGAAACAGTATCAGAAGAGTTATCAACTGTTAGCTGCAGGGCTTTTAAAAATTCTTAGTCTTTCAGACCGGTATTATTTTTATTATTTTTTCTCCCTCAGAAATTATGGGTTAGTTTATGTGAACAGCATTGCTAAAACTGATAATAATGTGTAATTAAGATTTTTTTAAAAAATCTCTTTCTCACTGGGAGAATGCTGCCAGGGCAATTGCTTTGTACAGGCAGTGGTGATGCAATAGTCAAATAGCAAACAAAAGTGTTGTTTGAGTGTGGAGTTTGCTTTGAGTCCTACAAACTCAAAAAGAACCTTTCTTGCTCGGTACCGATAAAGTGACACCTATTGCATTTACTGGTCCTTTGTGGGACATCCCTGAGTTGTGCAAGTTTTAAATTCTTCAACTTAAAGTTTTGTAAATTGTAAAATAAACCAGATACATATTGTAAAGCTCTCACTGAGTGCCCCTCAGTCCTGATAAAATTATTATCCAGCAGAGGAGTCATTATGTATCTTAAAAAAAAAAAACAACAGACAAAAACCACCACAAATTTCTAATTCCTGCTCTTTTTTTTTTTTTTTTTTTTTTTTCCTTTAGTTCCTTGGCATAGCATTTCTTGGGATTGGATTGTGGGCATGGAATGAAAAGGTAAGTTGAATATAGCACCAAACTTTGTTTTTCCTCTTTATCTCTCTTTTTCTGATGAAATACTGAAACAATAATATGTTGCATATTTTGTGTTCACACACAGTTTCTACTGAAGCAAAATCAAGCCTCTCTGTCAAATAAAACCTTAGCTTGGGTCACTTAGAGGAACATCGTTGGAATCTTCCCAAGAATACCTTGGCAAGAAATGGTGTCTGACACTTGCCCATAAAATAACCATTTCAATCCTTACACACTCAGACTGCAGCTCAGATACGAGAACACCCTGCTGGGGCAGTTATGGGCAGGGTGTCCCCAGGAATGAAGGGGGAGCCTACATGTCTTAGAAGGCAGCTTCCTGAAAATACCCAACCAGGCTTTGCTTTAACATAGTATGTTAATTGCTGTTCCTCTTAAGAAAACAAACCCAAAAAACTGAAAATCAAGATGAGCCCTGAAAACCAAGGGAAACCTGAGGCAGAATAACTGTTGCTTTTTCTTGTGCAAATTAAACTGGCCACTAGAACATCCTTTGTTGCAAGACTCTAAAATCAGCTTTGAAATGGGAAGTGTGTGTGGGGTGAGTGGAAATAGAAAAAGAAAACATTTCTGAACCAGAGCCTAATTTTTATTTTGCTTGCTGTAGAAATTGGGAAGAAGATAAATTGTCAAGGCATAATTTACAAAACAAGTCAGTATGTCTTGGGTTACTGGATGAAGAGTCTGGCTTTCTAAAAAGACAACAGCTGAAATTAAAGCCCGTGTTTCCTTTTCTTTGTTGAAAAGATTGAAAATAATAAAATTTGTCTGTTAACAATGATGCTGCGTTGTTCAGTTACATAATTGTTTTTTCTTCTTTTAATGGAAAACACTGAGTAAGTTATAAATTGATCTTCACTTAAGGCATAATAACTGGTGCTTGCAGCAGAACAAATAACACATTTGGAAGCTCTGGAGTTCTGGCTCTAAAAAATTCAGGACAAATTTTGAGTTGTTGACTTATATTCTAATTGCTCTGTGTGCCCTGGATATATAGATCATTACAAACAGTAATGAGATATTAACTAATGCACACTGTATACACCTATATATATATGTGCATATTTACATACCATATGATTCTGATATTGGATAGCTCAGATAGGCTTAGAAAGAGGTGCTGTGACTTTTTTATTCAGCAAAGATGTAAAAACATATTTTATTTAATACTCTGAACATACTCTCAGAGCTTGTAGCTATGTCTAAGCCTTAGAGAGCTGCATTGTTTAGGAGTGGCTCTACACAAGACATTTGAACATTGTTGTATCATTACAGTAGGTAACACAAATGATTCCTCTTTAGTGTGAATGAGCAGATAAAGGGAAAACAGCTATAGTTTTTATAGTGTTTTAGTCTTTGATGTCTAAAGTATGCCAGGCTTAACAGCTAGAAGGCGTTCTGGTGGAATCCTGGTTTGTTAGGATTTACATATTTTCTGTATGGGAAAGCTTGTACCCTTTCCTAGGGAAAATGCATTCAATTCATAATTGTTAATAGCCAGAAGTCAAAGCTCTTGTTTTTACTTGAGATTTGGATGTCTGTTATCAAATCATCTTAAACCACTTTTAATCAGATTCTCAAAGTAGGAGAAAATGCCATGTTGTTTTAAGATGAGCAAATAAGACCACCACAGCTTAATATGCATTGACTCGGGCTCCATATGTAGTAGGTTTTTAGATTTATTTTATTTTTAAATTAACAAGTAAAATAAAATACTGTTTATTGGTTTAAATCATGGGTTTTTCCTTGAAAAATTATCATATTTCCCCAACTTCTTTAGCTGTTTTATTTTGCAGTGCTTAGTATGGAGTGTTTTAATTCATGGTTGTAACAATCAAAATGCTGTATTAGGTATAGGTGAACTTGTGCCAAACCAGTTTGAGTCTTTTATTTCACTCGGCTCTTTAGAGGACAGGCAGTGGCCAAAAGCTGCTGTCAGCAGGATCAAGTTCCAGGTACTCATAGGCTCTGTGTTATTTAGCTCAGAGCAGACCCAGTTAGATCCCAGACAGAGTTATTCTTACTGTTCATGAGGAATTGAAGATGGAAGCCAGGGGCTTGAGAGATCTGTAAAATAACTGAAAAGCACTTCTCTAGCTAGTCTGCTGCTTGCCTAAGGCTGGGATGGATACCCCTTAAGCATTATGGGCTGTTGTAATGGTACACTGTATGACAATGAAGCAGTTTGTTAGAGAAGGACCTGGGGTTCCTGGTGTACACAAAGTCAAACAGTGAGCCAGCACCGTGACCTTGTGACAAACAGGACAAATGTGTCCTGGGCTGTACTAGGAGTGTTGCTAACAAGTTGAGGGAGGGAATTCTTCCCCTCTGTTTCAGCACTGGTGAGGCCACACCTAGGCCAGTTCTGGACTCCCCAGTCCAAGAAGGATGCTGACATACTGGAGAGTTCAGCAAAGGGCTGAATAGGTGATTAAGGTGCTTGAGCTTCTCTCCTACGAGGAAAGGCTGAGAGAGGTAAGATGGTTTAGTCTAGAGAAGAGTAGACTCAGGGAATCTTCATGTATGGAAATACCTGAAGGAAGAACTCAGAGAATGGAGCCGGGCTGTTTTCAGTAGTGCCCAGTGACAAAGGCAGCGGACACAAAATGAAACACAGGCGGTGTTTTCCCCTGAACATCAGCAAACACATTATTTTTATAATGTGAAGGTGACCAAGTACTGGCATAGTTCGCTCAGAGATGATTTGAATGAAGTCTCTGTCTGGAGATTTTTCCAAAGCAATCACAATATGGTTCTACATGGCCAGATGATGTCACCTGTTCTGTGAAGATTTGGTGCTGCCCCAATGAACTTGACTTTATCAGACTTGAACTTGACACTGCTTGTGTAATGTGTAAATTTGTAAGGGTTTTTTGCAGGAGTAGGTCATCAGGATTCCTACTGTAAAATTCATTTGGTGGTGGGGAGGATTTTGATTAACTTCTGTTTTGCATTGTGCAGCTTTATATTCAGCTGTGTGGTTTTATAGCTTGGCCATCAACTTGTGTATACTTTTGTTGCTTCACAGAATCTTTTCAAGGTAAAAAGATAGTGTTCCAGGCCACATTAAAATTGTAGGATGTAACAAAATAATTCAGACTTCACAGGAGTCCTATTCGCTGCTAGTTAAAACCAGTTTGGGACAGATTTGTGGACTTGGTGCCTAGTTTCTCTTTTTTTGCTAAGTTGGCTTGAATTCTCCCCTTTAAACTTTCTTGTGAGAAAGAAAAGCACAATATCCAGTCTTGTGGCCTTCCTTACTGCCTTTGCAGGGAGGCAAAAGAGCTCATTTGTCAAGTAGGCAATAGAATTGGCTTGACAGCCAGTCAGCCAGCCCTAAACAAAAGCTGGGCAATTAGCATTCTGAGCCATGAACCTGAAAGAGAGCTGGGGGTGGGGTGGGGGGCAGTAAACTCTGGGGATGAATGAAGCTATCTATACATGGTGGGACTGTATAGCTCACAGTCTCCCAGTGTTTTGAGGCATGCCAGGCTTGGGCTTGTACCAATAAATAGTTCATCCATGGCAGCCGATTTCCACCCTCCTCCCTGCAACAGTGACATGAACATTGTTAACATACAAAGAGTCTGTGCAAAACCTCAGCAACTTACAGCACTTTTGCTCAGTAGCAGGGGATAATGTTTATATTTCATTGTTTTTCTTAACCACTTCAAGTCATGTCTTCTGTTGACTCTTTAAAAATAAACCAGTGTTGTACAAAATGTCTGTTTCCCTCCTTTGCTGTCTATATTAGATATTGTGGTCTTAAGGCCATTTGTGCTGTGATACCAGTAGGTGCTTGGGAAAATAAGCTTCCTGTCTACTTCAAGGAGATTTATGTTCAAGAGTAGTGAGCCTAAGTGATGAATTGCTGTTAATGTCTTCTTATAAGATCTTATAAGATAGTTGATGGAGAGGGACTTTTTAGGAGGAATGCACTGTGGTTTTGAGGTAAACTCTTAAGTAAGAGGTAGCAAAAGTCAGAGGTAGTAAAGTAGGGAAGAAATCTTTCAAATTTTGTTGATTAGATTTAGTTTGTGTATAAAGTTGACTGAAGTGAAGAGGGAGAAGTGGAAGAAGCTGACAATGTGCATGAGTATGGCTTCTCAGCTTTTCCAGTCAAATCAGCATAATGAGTTGCTTCAGCTCAGAAGTCAAGTTGTGTGTAGTTTGGAGAGCCAGTATGGTACCTCTGGATGCCAGCATTGTATTCTTAGTGAGCAGGAGCTCTAAATCTGAATCTCAAGTTTTAAGATAGACTTTCACTTGTCTAAGGTGATTTAGGTCTGCTTTGGTGTTCTCGGACAAGCTAAACTCTGTACATGGAAACAGTCATAATTTGTCAGATCAAATCTGTCTCTCCTTGCCCTGAAGTGAAATCTAAAGTTGTTTTCAAGACAAAATTCTCACTTCTCTTATTGTCCCAGTGAGCAGTGGACACCAGGAAGGAGTGATAGACTAGTCACTCCATAATTGTAGTGCATGCATGTCTATCACTCAGTTCTTCTAAAAATTCTTGTCAACAAGGAAACTGCACATATCTGATGTTCCTTACAGGCTGAAGGAACCCAAAGCCTATATCTTGCCTCTAAGACAGGGCTGTGTGTGGGTTTTATAGGACTGGAGAAGAGAGGAGGGGATCCACTATTACACTTCATTTGATTCTCAATGCATAAAAATGCAGTCTAAACAGGCAGGCTCTTAAATGGTGTGCTAGTACCAATATTTGATAGTCATTAATCCTGAAAAGTCTAAAAATCCATATCTTGTATGTATTTATGCCAGTTATTCACCTATTGAACTCTACTTTGTTAGGACAAGAAAGCTAGACTAGTTTTCCTCCTCCGTCAGACACTTGAAAAATCAAGTCCTGCTGCAATTACTGCTTGCTGTGGGAAATGCAAAACCAACAAAAATCAAGGAAATTAGATTTGTAAACATCCCCCACCTAGTTTCTTGCTTGC